ATCAACATTGGCCTTTAAGTTGTCTGCCAATCCCATGTAGAACCACTACCCCAACATCTACTCTGGAATGCCATGATGTGGACACTTAACCAGGATACCCTTGAACCTCTCCCACATTTCTTTTAATGTTTCTTTTGGTTTCTGTCTAAAGCTCAATATCTCATCAATTTGTTGAGCAGTCTTATTAGGTGGATATAATTTGACTAATTCCTCCAAAGTAGTGATGGAATTAATGGGGAGTGAATTAAGCTAAGTCTGAGCCTCTCCCGTCACCGAGAATGGAAATAACAACAGCTTTATTGCTTCCGGTGTCACATTAGGTTGCTTTTACGTGACACATATCGATAGGAAATTCTTTAGATGCTGCTGAGGATCTTCAATATATGATCCTGAGAACAGTCCCTTATTCTGCAACAAGTGTAGCATGTTGTTTGTGATTTGAAATGATTCTGCTTGTATCTGAGGGATTGCAATTGTGGTTGATAGGTTGTCGGCTGTGGGTTGTGCCCAATCATACAATGTTTCTTCTGGCACAAGAGGCACCATACCCTGATTGTTCAGGTCATTCACATTGTTTCTGTTGTTTGGATTATTTACTCCGTCTTCCATGTCTGGTTCGATTTGTTCTGTTGAGTTCTGTTGTTGTTTGCCTTTCTTGTTTGCATGATTCAATGACTTGAATATTTCTCCGGATCTGATAATGCTTCGAACAATTCACCAGTTCTTGAGGAGTTTCTAGGCATGCACCTGTAACACCCAAGACTACAAACGTTACAATTTCAATGTATTTAGTTTAAATTGATGAAAATTGACTACATTAAGAATTCTAGCACTTCTTTTAGCTCCAATTAATAACACCGTTAAGTCTCCGGCAATGTTGCCAAAATTTGATTACGCCCAACTATGTCTTATAAAAAGGACTAAGCGGTCGTTGCAAATATATTCCGGTTAACAAGTTCGGAGTCGAATCCCACAGGGAAATAACCTATTAAACACAACTATTGGACTCACACAAATTCACGTAATCAATCTTCAGAAATATTTAAGTAATAACATGGATGTTTACTAACTAAATAGTACGTAATAAAAATGCAATAAATAATAACTAACTACGAACAAGTTATAGACAAGAATTGGAATGATCTAAGGTTATGATTTCCCTTATTGTCGGAATCCTTTCCGCTATGTTTTCTATAAATTTGTTTAAGTCTTCTCTATCGATCATGAGCACTCTGACTGTCATAACTCTCTCCCAAGTAATTACCACAATATACTAGACATATTCTCCCGAATTACGCTAGCTGGCCTTAAGTACAGCTAACTCAGATCGCACCAAGGTTTCGTTATCTCTAATCCCACCTTTAAACCCTTCGTATTGATCCCTCATATACGTTAGGAGTGATGTTGTTCAACAACTACCTAAATATGTACTCTTTCCCGAGTAATACATACTAATTAGGCATAGTCGATTGAGGGCCCTTCAATCAACAACAATAATAATATAGTGGAACAAATAGAGAGAATACTACGACAATCTATATTAACGAATCATCCTCCAATAGGTTCCATCAAAATCCTAAATTAGGAGTTTAGCTATGCATAATTGTTTTCACAATCACAACAATAGAATTCATCATCAATGACAAAAACTAGAGGAAGAAAGATAAAAACTCGTTGCCGAATCTTTCGTCATGCTTCTTGCATGTTCTTTCCTTCAAAATTCTTCTAAAAACCAAGATACCCTCTTTTTGGGCGAGCTAGGCTTCATATAGGTCAAGGAGAGTTGCCTGTGAAATTACAAGTTGAGCCCTGGAATAATTTTTCTCGGAGAGACATGTGCGGCCGCGCACCTGGGAGGGTGATTGCGCATCTGGCCGCGCACTTTGTGAAATTTCTGCATGACTTGCGCGGCCAGTGCGCGACCGCGTACCTGGGCCATTTTCTGCATTCTTCTTCGTTCTTATTTTTAATTGCGCTAACCTCTTTCGATCCTCTAACGAACTCCCAATTTACTCCATAAGCTTTTACTTGGCCTTCAACGCTCCATATTATCTCAAAACACTCCTTAACCTTTTTGTAGCCCGGAGTTGCTCCTGCAAAGCATAAAATACTCAATTAGAGCAATTTACTACCATTTAACGCTCAAACATTAGTAAAGTACAGCCAATTTAAAGTGCAAATAGTAGCCAAAATACATAGTTATAGCCTAGTATTAAAGTGAAAAGTCTAGGAAAGGCCGATAAATTTGGTAAAATATTATCAGTAGTCATATTCATATCAAATCAATAAATGCAAAACATACGTTATTATATAAAGACATCTACATTTTCATCATGATTAATTGATGTATTTTTTCAGAATATTTTTATACTATTAAAATTAAATTGTTTAGTTTAATATAAACACCAGATACAAGTAGGATGTACATTTATAATTCATGTATCTATCTAAGTCACGTATTGTCAATTTCTAGCCAAGATCTCCATATTACAAAAACTACCGGTCAATCTTATTAAAGGAAGGAAAAAAGAAAAAGAAGACTATTGATTGTAAATATTTCAAAAAGTACATATTTTCGTTTGTAGGAAAAACCAAGCTAAGTAATATCCAAAATATCTTTGCAACTAATATTCAACTTGGAAGTTTCTTCATGTCATTGACTCATCCTTTCCTATTGGGGTTTTTTCTTTTATTCTTATCATACTACAATGCTTTTTTAAGAGGCGTATCCAAGAATTTTAAATTTTATGTGTTCTACGTTTAAGATTATTAGTATAAACCTATTATATTTTTAAAATTATGAATTCATATTTATTATTTGTTAGGGATAAAGTATGCTGCAATTTTAGTAAATTTTTATATATAAATTTACATTTCACATCGAAAATATTGAATTCGAATAAACCTGGTAGCGTAATGGTGTATCCACCGTGGGGTGGGGGTGGGGGGGTGGGGGGCGACAGAGGGGTATAAATATTGGTTTGTTGGAAGCTCTTCTATTCTTATTTCTCTCTTCTAGTAGTTGGTTTCAAACTGAAACCTTTCTTTCCTATTTTTCTTCTACAATTTCATTTTACACTATTAACTTCTAACTAATCTTTTTTCACAAGTTGTATACTCTCGGAAAAAACAGTAAGGAAAATCTTTTAAAAGGAACTTTTTCTAGCTCCAACATGGCAATGGCTACGAGTTTTCCGGGTGAGTCAACGATTTTAATTTGTAGATTTTCATTTATTCTTTTTTTCTCGTATTATAACAAAGGATATATTATATGCAAAGTCATCTCCATATATTCTATTTTTAGTCCTAGTGCTTGTAAAATGGTACTAAACAGAAACAAATTTTGCATGTCTTTTTTTTAAAATATATTTTTGGCACTCTCTAATACATATTCTTATATTCATATAGTTCTAATAATTTATGTTCATGTTGAATATATATTTTATTTTTCTTTCTTCAAGCTACCATTTATTCGTGGAAGCTCGTTTCAATTACGTACTATATACTGCAACAATTTTCACTGCATTGGCTGGTTAATTTCTACGTTCTTCCTTTTTAGAATAATTTTCTGTTCAGTAAAGTTGATATATTTAATCAATTAGTCGAATGCATGTTAGCTACCTAAATTTCGACGTGTAGTTTTGACTAGTTATACGACCATATCATGCATATATTTCCTCGGTCAAGAAAATGAGTCCATTCTATACATGATTATATTTTCGTCAGACCATTAGGTGCTCAAATATTAAACTATACTATAAGTAAAAGCATTCCCATTATGATTAAAAGAAAAAACATAACATATGCTTACATGCAGAAGAAGATGTTATTTGGTTAATGAGAAATTGAAAAAAGAGGAACTTAAAAAATATTTCCAACTTTAGTTTAATTTTATATTTTTGAACGGTTAGCTATAGACCAACTTTTAGAACGTTGGTCATTATACATACTTTTCGCACCAACTTAAGGGTTGATTTGCATGAATGAATCTTTATTATGACAAGTAATATTTGCATCTTTAAGGTAATTTTCAGTCTCATTTTATTGGACCTTAAAACTATATTATTCGAGAAGTAAAATGAAAGTAAAATATGCATGTATATCTAGAGTTACCTACCAATCGCATGTGCAGTATATTTAAATAAACAGACTGGTAGCTGCTTTTAGTTGAAGTTCTGAATATTTGGTCTAAGGATGGTACTTCATGTTGTTGTCAAATATAAAGGAAGATGTAGACAAAACCTTGACAATTGAAGACAGGAAGAAGATATATTCCAATACTATTGTAGTCCGGTAAAAGAAAGTTAAGAAAATAAAAATAAAAAATTAGTCTTGTAAAAGAAAGTAAAAGTTGTGATGGCATGGATATATGTTGTTGCAGTTTAATTTTGTATCTAGAGCTTTGGAAGTTTAAAAGGAGATGATAAATAAAAAGAATGTTAGATTTGTTATTCATGTAAAATGTTAAGAGTCTATGCTTGATTTGAATTAATGTGAACTTTATATTCATCCTGATGTGTTAGGATTGCTTTAACTAGTTAAAGCCGCCTTGTCGTAGCAAGGAGATTGACATTGACCCCTACCTTATATATTAAAATTTTAAATATAATTACATAGAGGAGAGAGACCTAAAATCGAACATCCTCACAAAGTATAAGCAACATGCCCGGCCAACTCAATAGAATTTTGATGCAAGTGCATATCATTATAGGGTGTGTTAGACCCAAAATTTATTTTCTTAATATGGTATCAGAGCCAAATTTATTATAATTCTTAGTTTACTCAATGTTGAGCCCCTTGTTACAGTGTTCACGTACCAAATGTCTAGTCTTGGGAGTGAGAAGGGGGTATTTTGTTTACCACATCTTGTGTAATAAAATATATTGGGTTTATTATATGATTTTGGGTAATTCTTACATTTCCAGCTAGCTTTTGGGATTAAATTAGAGTCACAATATAATCCATTAATATAGTAACCAACAACTACGTACTGAAGAAATAAACTCAAACATATACTTATGGCATTACGATATGTGCAAACCTCACATACATATTCTATTACAAGATAACAGTTAAGATTCATACTTATAAATTACATATATAAACAATAAAGAGACAAGCTAGAACATCATCAAGAGAAAGAATGGTTTGCTTACAATTAATCAATAAGAATCCAAATTCTTCTTCTATTTCTTATACAACCATGGGAAGGTAATTAGAGAAGGCACATAAACATCTTCATTCATCCACTCTCTTGTTGATTATCCTGTGTAGGATTAACCAAAGGATCAAAATCTGGGAACATGCCATTGGTAATTTGTTGGTTTTGGCTATTGAACATGTCTTCATTGATCAAAGAATTCAGGAACGAGGAGAAGACATCATCCCTGCAACAATTCATTTCATCATCTTCCTCAACCACAATATTCAGATCATCAATATTATAATTGGCAAGCATCGCGTTACTCTGATATTGATAATCATCAAGACTCGTAATTTCTCCAGGATGATTAATATTGATACTACTTCTTAATGGCTCTTCCATTTGGAAAGGAATGTAAATGGGGTTTGAAATTGTATTGAAATCATTTGCTAATTTTGAAGATGAAGAAGGTGAAGAAGAAGAAGCTTTGTTGGTAATATGATCATCACTAGAGGAATTACGGTTTATTAATGGCTTATGAGTTCTTGGATCTATTCCTTGGCTGATTAACTTCTTGCTAAGGTGAGTATTCCAATAATTCTTTATCTCATTATCTGTTCTTCCTGGAATTCTCCCAGCTATCAAGGACCACCTACAACATTTCCAAAGTAATTAAAAAAATATAAGAAAAAAATCGTATTTAAGTAAAGAAACATTAAAGATTTAAATAATAGAACAGAAGGAAAAGAATAACATATAATATGTGAGTGCTAAATTGTCCTTTTCTTTTGAGGGGGTTGAGTTTAATCTCAAGATCTCTGACTTCACAAATGACCTTTCATTTAGACATTTGGAATTATAAAGTAAGATATAATTTAGGGCCTCTCTGATTTATTCCAAAAAATAAAAAATAAAAAATAAAAAATAGCAGCTGTTTGACTAATAGACATATATACTTTAATTTCCACAAACAAAACGACAAAAATACATTTTTTCCAAATAAAAAATAAAAAATTAAACCAACTTTTCATAAAATACCAACATAAAATGTTCTTGAAAATTTCTCTAATCTCAAAATTAATCTGCCAATATTACACTAAAACAAAAATTAAATTTTTAACCAAAAGCCATCATTGTGGTGTGGGGTTAGGCCGATACTAAAACCAATCTAAACAACACATTAAACTCAAAGATACTGCAAACCCTAATAAAAACTCAAAAGAAGATAAAAAAATTAGTAAAAGTAAACAATCCATGCTTATAGGTTAGTGGTATCAGCCGAAAATTCCCAACACAATATAGATCGACGTGTGAGTTTAATTAATCTCACTGTACACCTTCTACTTCCCCGACCCCTATGTAATTAATAGAAATGCTTTTTATAATAGAAAACAAAATATAGCGGAACCAAAATTTTTATTAAAGAATATCAAAATACAAAAAAATAAATATACGAAGAGATCAATAGAATTCTCTCTCTATATATGTATGTATTCTAAAAAATTACATAACTATACATTGTAATTTATCAGGCAAAGGGTTTTGAAGTGGTGGCTCCGCCACTGACTAAAGGTGATATAGATCAAGAGTAGAGGAAAAGAAGCAATAAGACAATAATATAAACAACAATTGATATAAGAAGAAAATTTGGAGGACCTGTTGCCAAGGAGGCGATGGAGGCGAAGGATGAGATCTTCTTCATCAGGCGAAATATGGCCGCGTTTGACAGAAGGACGGAGGTAATTCATCCACCGGAGGCGGCAGCTCTTCCCACAACGGAGGAGCCCCGCCTTTTTTGGCAAAGTACGCCACCGTCCTTCGCCTTCTTTATTTATATAATTTGTTAATATCTCGTCTTCTTCTGGTGTCCATGGCCCTCTCTTTAACCCTACTTTGCTACAACATGGTGTTACTTTTGTTTTTGATGATGTTGGTGTTCTCATCTTTCTTTGGTTTCTCTTTGCGAAGTTTTTCTTTTTTAGTTTGCTAAGGTGAGAAAGAAATGGAGATGAATTCTCAACATTTGGTTGAATGTTACGTTGGTTGAGTGAGAGTGATATTAATGTCTTACTATATTTGGGAGGGAGTTTGTGTTCGACGTAGTTACAAGCTTTTTCCTTGCACTTACAACACGTTTTCCCGAATTCATTTTGGAGATTTTATTTTTATATTTTTATTTTTTAATGAACTTTTAATTGGAACAAGTCACGTTTACATTTTTTTGTTTAACTACGAGGGCGTACAATAGACACTTGTGGTACATTCCTTCCCCAGATCACGCACATAACGGAAGCTTAGTGCACTGGGCTGCTCTATGAGGGTGTTTGGATTGGCTTTTAAGCGGGTCAAATCAGCTTTTAAGCGCTTTTTAATTTTTCTCAGTGTTTGGCAAAGTTAAGAAGTACTTAAAATAAGTTTAAAAGCTGCTTAAAACAAGCCAAAAGCAATAAACTGGGCAACCCTAACTTATTGCTTTTTGGCTTAAAAGCTATTTCTACTGAAAATTCACTTTTTTAAACCAATCCAAACGGGCGCTTTCTGGTATCAGAACAGCTACTATAAGCCCAATTAATCTAAATTCGTGATGTATTGGTTTTAAAGCGAAAGCACTATATATTGATCTATTAAAAAAGTTTTCATTGACAAGGATCAAATTCGAGAGTTCTGATTAAGGATGTGTATTCTTCCCTCGATAATGAGTCACTTTACATTTATATTTAGCTTTTATTTTTGAGATATATAACATGGCTATGGTCAGAGGCAAGATTTAGAAGGTGGAAGACATCGAAAAATTACACTGTACATATAAAATAAATTCATACAAAAATCCTACCTTTGCCATTGACTACGATAAATAGAGAAAAGAAGGGTCGTAGAACTTTTATAAGTAATATGGCCGCGATAAACAGCTCATGTACGAATTGATGGAAGTTGCACTTGGTTTTTCTTATATAATATTATGACCAAAAATAGAATACCTCATTAGATGCATTCTTTACCTCTTTTAGCGAAATAGTAACGATATGCATATGAATGGGGCTCACGCATTGATTATCCTTAGAAAACGAACATGCAAGCAAACAAGTAATTAGTTTTATAGAGAACTCATCGTTTGGTGAAAGTTTAAATTACAATATGAAATGTCAAATTTTGATAGATGACATGACGATAGTTTATCAATTGATATTCACAAAGATATTCATTGATTTGAATATGTAATATCGACTATTCAACATATATATATGTAACATATTTATGAATTGCATTAATTAGATCATATGTTTTTTTTAACTTTAATATTCACAAGAGTAAAGTCATATTCGAGGAAGAGATCTAGTTAAACATGATTAAATTAATTACTTGAGTTTTTTTTTTAATTTACTTGAGTGGATATATTTTTAGATTGGTTCACGAAATAAATTTACTCATTCACTTGAAGACTCAGATAGTATATTCTATTCTTGTTAAAGTAGCAAAACGTATAAAAGTAAATAATGACAAGTAAATAGAGGGAGTTTTTGGAGATCTGATTATTGGACGCAAAAAATAGATCAGCATTTACTCTATTTGTCACATAATTAATTTCAATCAAAACATTCCACAGTAGGAATTACTCACTTTCAAAAGAGCACAGGACAGTGACCTTTTCCCACCCAGAATTTCGAGTGTGTTATTCGATCAATTAGTGCAATCACCAACCCAATATCAAATCATAATATTTAAAAAAATTAATTTAATTTTAAAGAGAAAAGAAAAGCAAAATTGCAATTTTGATAAATGCAAATCGAACAAAATCTATCTTTCTTAATCGCCAGAATTATTGTGTGATGACCCAAAAGGTCATCTCATGTTTTAAAAACCAATCCGGGTTTCGAGACCTTCAAGACCTCATTTTCTTTCTCCTCGATTTGCGTGCACAGTCCAGGCACTCTTCCGGAAAGCCCTTATGTGAAAATTTGAGAAAAATAACAATTTTGCCTTTAAATTTGAATTTAAGTTGACTTCGGTCAATATTTTGGGTAAACGGACCCGGACCCGTGATTTGACGGTCCCGGAGGGTCCGTAGGATAATATGGGACTTGCGTATATGCCCGGAATCGAATTCCGAGGTCCCTAGCCCTAGAAAAGAATTTTTGAAGAATATTGTTTAACTGAAAAATTATAAGAAGTTTGAAAATTTAATAATATTTGAATTTGATGGTATCAGGCCCGTATTTTGGTTCCGGAGCCTGGTACAGGTTTAATATGGTATTCAATCTGTGTCTGTAAAATTTGCTAAGAAACGGTATTAACATGACGTGATTTGGACCCTCGGCTGTGAAAATAGTAACTTTAAGAGTTCTCGAGATTTTCATTGATTTTCATGCTAAATTCGTTGTTTAAGATGTAATTTTGGCGATTTAATCGCACGAGTAAGTCCTTATGATGTTTTTAGACTTGTGTTCATTTTTGTTTGGAGCCCCGAGAGCTCGGATGAGTTTCGGATAGGTTTCGAGATGTTTTGGACTTAAGAACTTCTGTTGTTTTGCTGCTTCTGGTGTACTGATATTTTATTCTTCGCATTCGCGATACAGCTCACGCGAACGCGAAGTATAAGCTGAGCTGGGGAGGGGTTTCTTCTACGCGAACACGAGGCCTTGATCGCGAACGCGGAGCACGGGGGTGATTGCTCTTCGCGAACGCGACTGGCCACACGCGAACGCGTAGTGTAATGGAGGAGGCTGGGGGAGTCCTTAAGTTGTTCTTCGCGAACGCGATCCCTGGCCCGCGAACGTGATGGTCAGGAGGGACAAACCATCGTGAACGCGAGCAGCTCATCGCGAATACGTAGGCCCTTCTGGCCACAAGCATCGCGAACACGACAGACTCTTCACGAACACGAAGAAGGCCTGTAGAGTGATTTTAAAACAGAACCTAGGTCGGGATTTCTTCAAAATTTCATATCCTTTTCCATAGAATCGAACCTTGGGCGATTTTTGAAGAGAAGTTTCAACATCAAATCCTAGGTTGGTGTTCTTAAACTCATTTCTTTCATTTTTCATCAACACCCATTAGATTTTTAGGCCTAAATCTTGTTCTTTAAGGGTAGAAATTAGGGATTTTAAGAGAATTGGGGATTTTATAAATTTGAGGATCTAGACCTCAATTTGGAGTCGGATTCCGAAACTAATTACATATTCGGGCTCGTGGGTGAATGGGTAATCGGGGTTTGGTCTGAACCTCGAGTTTTGACCAAGCGGGCCCGGGGTCGATTTTTGACTTTTTGAAAAAAAATGATAGAAAACCTATAATTAAGCATTGGAGTTGAATTCTTTAGCACTTATTGATATTGTTAAGTTAATTATGGCTAGATACAAGAGAATTAGAGGCAAAATCTAAAGGGAAAGCAATGTTTGAGGCTTGAGTTTGGCCGTAGAATCCGAGGTAAGTGTTTGGTCTAACATTAGCTTGATGGAATAGGTGTTGTGCCTTATTTGCTACGTGTTAATGTTGAGCACGGCGTATAAGTGAGGTGACGAGTATCTATACGTTGGTGTCAAACATGCCCGTGAGTCTTATATTATGATTGTTGTGACTTTTATAATGTACTATTCATGCTTACATTGATGATTATCATTGTGGAACAAGACTTATGATAAATTCTTGGAATTTGACCATTGTCGAGTATTGGTTCAAGTTGAGGTTTATTTTGTAAAGTAAATATTGAAATTGGGTTGGTTATAGCCGATTCCCATGTCGGGATATTATTGTTTCTGTTGTCAACTCCCTTGCCGGAACGATATTGTTCTATTATTGATTCCCTTGCCGGGATGTTATTATTTCTATTGTTTGAGTGAGGAAGAGTGTAAAGCACGAAGGGTGATGTCACACATGATATTGTGAGCGATTGTTAATGCACGAAGGGTGATGTCGTGTCGATATTATGAGTGATGCACGAAGGGTGATGTCGTACCATATATTGAAAGTAAAAGCACGAAGGGTGATGCCGTGCCATGATTATGAGAGAGTAAAAGCACGAAGGGTAATGTCGTACCGTTTCTGTTGATTTATATGGTGAGGACGAGAGTAAAAGCACGAAGGGTGATGTCGTGCACTTTATACTGTATTATCATTTCCGTTGCTTCAAGTTTGATCTTTACTTTATCGCCCTACTTTATTATTGTCATAACCTGATATGCCCCTCAGCATGTTCCCCTTTCCCCCATCTTATTCTGCTAAATTTTCGTTATTATTGCTTTTCGTATATGATTTAACTGCACATGTTTATATGGTTGTTGCGTCCTAGCCTCGTCACTACTTTGCCGAGGTTAGGCTCGACACTTACCAGTACATGGGGTCGGTTGTACTGATACTACACTCTACACTTTTTGTCCAGATCCCAGTACTGGACCCTATAGACCGTAGTTCGAGGTTGCTGCTTTCAGTCTAGTGGAGACCCGAGGTAGTCCTGCAGGCATCCGCAGGCCTTAGCGTCCCCTTCTATCATATTTTCATTCTGTTTTTATCTATTTCTGAGACAGATGTGTATTTTCCTTGTTCAGACCACTACTTGTAGTATTCGTAGATAGTCCGTGAATTTGTGACACCCGTTTTGGGTGGAACCTTATTATGGATTTCGTTTTAGTATTAAGTTAAATTGTTAAATTCTATTCTTCCACATTTTGATTTCCGCTGATTTTTCTTATATCATCTGGTAAATTGTTAAAGATAAAAGGAAAAGGTAAAATAATTAGTAACGTTGGCTTGCCTAGCAGATTCAATGTTAGGCGTCATCACGGTCCTAATGGTGGCAAATTTGGGTCGTGACAAGTTGGTATCAGAGCTCTAGGTTACTTAGGTCTCACAATTCACGGACAAGCTTAGTAGAGTCTGAGGGATCGATACAGAGACGTTTGTGTTTATCCCCCAGAGACTACAGAGTTAGGAACAGTTTCACTTCTATTCATCTTTGTTGTGTGGTTTGATTTCTCAGTGCTAATTGAACTTCTACTATGTTCTTTCGCAGATGGTGAGAAAACAAGCTTTTTTATCCGCTGATCAGCAGCCCGAGCC